TGCAGCTGGCATTGGCGGCGGCCCGTGCACGGCCGGCCCTGGCGCAGTTTGCGGGCGAAAGCATCAGAAATGACGCTTGGAGCTGGGGACTACGTGCTGTTCAGCAAAAAGCACCCGGGAGAAATGCTTTAGGCCACAGACACAACGCTTGGGCTGGATGTACCAAGAAGTTCCCGAGTTTTGCTCTTTTCCGGGGTGGCTTATTAATCCAAAGTAGACCCTGACAAGGAGTTTCATTTGCCAAACCCTCTTTGGAAGAGCAATGTAATTGTTAAGGGGTCCGGGGTCACCAGAAACAACCACTCCGTTGCTTTGGCTATTCTTGGTTTTGTGTCGGGTTTTGATTTTTGAATTATGTAGAGCTCTTTGGCTCTCATGCCTCGCGCAAGTTAGGAAGTGGTCTACTTGATCAAGAAGGAGCAGCCCCACGTCTGGAGCAGGGGCTGAAGCAACACGTGTCCCGGGCAATTTGGGCAACTCACCAGCTGGTAAACCAAGACATCCCAGATAGCACTGATCCCCAACGATGGTTCCTGAGAACATGTTGTTTGTTTTGAGGGCCCTGTGGCTAAAATGATGGCGGGCCTGGAGGCCAACCAAGAGGTTTTCTTTGAAGTATTTTGAGTTTACTGCTGTTTGACCCAGAGTTTGGGGCGCCCCTATTTCGAGACGCACCCCTGTTGGATCTCCAAGGAACACGAACCCGGCTTCATGTTTGCGCCATCGACACTCACACCCTCTAAGTAAAAGCATTTGGTGGATTGGGTTTCATGGATCCATGGAGCGATTTGGGGAGGAACCCCATTCTTTGATGTTCACAGGAGATGGTAAATCACGACAAGCCATGTAAATTCATGCAACATCATGTCATCTATGTATGTGGATTTGTCCCGGCCCGTTTTTGGCAAAGTTGAGCCCTACAGTCACTTGGGTAGCTCAATGTGGTTCTACTTGACAGCTTTGTGTTTGCAAGAGCTGGCTATCAAGGACGACTGAGCATACCTTTTCATACCCTTGCCACGTTTTAGACTCTAGGCGCCGAGGGGTCAGACATAAGTTGCTTGAAAGGAACCCCCCACCCATGCTACTAACCAAATAGGTTTCTGATGAGGAGCTCCTCCCCACTTGCGCAGTGGATCGAACATGGGGAAAGAGCCAGCTATGGCATAGCAGCATAGCACGAAGTGTGACATATACAGACAGCTTTATGAACCATGCCTCGGAAGTCAACATAACGTTTACATAATGCGCCCTATTTAAAAATTTGTCAGTTCATGTCCTTTCCAACGCCTTCCCGCAACAAAACGACATGAGTGTTGCAGCCCCACAGTAGGGAAGCAAACAAACGCACCAGCAAGAACAATCAAAAAAAGATCTACAACAATTCCTTCCACCAGAAGCCCTTGTGGCAGAAAGAGAGTGTACGAACCGGGAGACGTCCAGAACCAGGTCCGAGGCTGTGGGCGCGCCGCAGGGCTATGTGGAGGGCCCCGTGTGGTGGACGCCGGAGGCTTTCAAGCCGCTGGTAGAGACGACGGGCCAAAAAGCGGCGCCACGACGGTGCGTTTGGATGGCGGTGGCGAGGTGATGGATGCTGGTGCGGATGGAATGGAATTGTAGCTGAATGAGTCATGATAAACGTTGAATTGGACCAGCTTCGACATTCAGTGGGTCATAACGAATTTGACCCGAATGTGATTGTTTTTAATGTTGAGTGGCACGAGATGTTGGGGGTTTGAAAAGCGATGAAGTGATGCTGGGAAACCCACAACAGCACAATTTCTTGGATCTCTATCAAGACGATCGATGACATTTTAAAAGATTAGTCGTTGATATGGCAGGGTTGGGCTCAGCAGGTCACCCGCCTGCTCTTTTTTTTGGTAGATGAAACCATGAACAGAATCTGCGCCTCCTGGCTCATGAAACCATGCCATATGATATCCATATTCAATGGATGATACAATTGAGATCTCTCTGTGCAACTGTTGCACTTGCCATGGGTTCATTCAGCTGAGGAAACTGAGAGGCACCTGGCTGTTAGGTGTGTTCGACCTTGGATACAAAATGCCTGGTATGTCATAGAATCATAGAACTGCGTTTTTGGATCTTTTTGGCTACAAGCTTCAAGTTCCTTGCCTGACCATTTGCGGTCCCCGCGGACGAGATTTGGCTCGAGGACCATGTAAGCGACACGATGTAGGGCTCCATCTGACTGTGACCTAGCAGCCCTAATACGAACACCTCGCAAAGCATGCAACATCAGCACTGGCACTGGAATGTGACAAGCAGCGGGCAAGCATGTTGTGTGAGCTGCTTGATGGAACATGCGGTAAATGGTGGAGAGACCACTGAACCCAAGTGCACACGATACCCAATTTGCTTCAAGACAAGCCCAAGATCATTCCGAGGGCTAGGAATGGGCAAAGTGGGTAGCGCCAAGGTGGGGACCGAACTTTAGGGGGGGGGGCTGGCTCAGTTGGTCCTGCTTCCATGTCAAAAATGTCGAATGGTTCGCACAGGTCAAGAAACTACCGCCTGTCAAACGAAGTGGGCTGGGGCAAAGTGCACCGTCATATACCATCATCATGGAGCACCACATCCGATCTAAAACCCACCAGGCCGAGCCCAAAAAGGAACCAGCAGAGAAGGCAAAGGCGTGGCCACAAGACCTTTCCGGTGCTGCTGTGGCGACTGCCACCGGAGGTCCGGGTTAGATGATGCTAGATGGCTGTTGAGGACTACTTGGACTTTTGTGGCACAAAGGGTGTTTTGCACCGTGCAGTTGTTTGGTTCCTGGCGTGCTGGAACGAGCATGCACGAGCATGGAACGAGTCCGGGGTGTGCAAGGTAGCTGGAGGTAACAACAGGCAACACAAGCCAGTTATGTTGGTATTGGTATGTCTCCGACATCTTGCGCAAAAGCGCGCAGGCGGCAGACAAGAGCAAAGATGCAAAACCAAAGGCAGAAGCAAAGGCCGTGGCTAAGCTGAAAATTACGCAGGCATTGAAGTGACCTGAAGCAAGCATGGGTTCCAAGTTGCCAGCCATTCTGGGATCCCTAGAGAAACACTTCTTATATTTGGCGTTGGATTCTGACCTTAGAAGTTGGACACACCGGATCTTCCTCACTAGGGAACTGTCTTTTTATTTTCAGTGTTGTGTTCACCGTCCATGAGTGCATGCCTCCTAAACCTTTGCCGACCAGAGATTGCAGGGCCTCTCCATTGAGGACGCTGGCCGTGTCTTTGTTGTGGATCAAATCTGCTATGACCCCCTCTCTGGTTTTGTATTTCTGGAATTCGACGTGGGCAGACAGGAGCCTGCGAAGGAGGATCCCAAGGCAAAACTGCCCGACTCTCAGCGCGAACCGCGCCAATCTCCGCTTCATCTCGGCAGCAAGATCTCAAGTTCCCCACAAGTTATCATGGTGTAGTGGTGTAGTGCCAGAAATGGATATGACATGACATGACTGGCTTTGTGTGAAACCTGATATACAATGATATGATAATATACAGTTAGTTTTGTTTAAAACCAAAACCTAAAGGCAAAAGCCCCTCCCCAAAAAAAACATGTTATTTTTTGAAGTTGCTTTTGCCTTTAGATTTTGGATTTCGAACCGCTACATTGGGGGAATATCCGCGTCATAGCCTAGCAATAGGTCATGGCAGTCTTTCACCCACCCGGATATAAGTGGGGGAGCGCTGAGGTTAGAAGAAGCCAAGCAGAAATATGCGGATGATGAGCCTCTCGGCCCAACATGAGGTATACACAAGTTGAGAGGAACGTCTTCAGCAGAATTCATCTCAAAATAGATGCAGAATTCATGGCTGCTCTTGAGAACTTAGCAGTGGTTTCCTGTTGTACAAGAGGAGAAATCATATAGGAGGACGTTGCAGTTGCTGTTGCATCATTGGATGTGTTTCAGAGCTGCTAGCGGCCGAGGCGAGATGAACTCGCACGAATTGAACTGCTCGAGCCCAAAAGATTTGAAGTTGTACGACGCTTGCTGATTGAATTGAAAACTGATGATCAGCCGATGTTACTGAGGCGGAAGCAGAATCGAGAGACGAAGGTGGCGGGTGGACACGAGCTGAAACATCCGCACATGAAACATCATGCCCATACTCGCCCCAATGCCCATGCTAGGGTGTGCCACACCCTCCCACTGATCGCCCATCACCCACAGTACTTTGGGACTTGGGATGGACAGCAGGGGCCGCGATGAGCTTCCATTGAAGGAGTGGAGATGAGTTGAGGTGTTTGTCGTATGAATCCTTTCAATTGCACCCCAAAAGGCCACCATGAATTGAGTAGTGAATGGCCGAGTGGCCCACCTTTGTGAGCGAAAACACACCCAGCTCCCGCGAGGCCAAAGGATCCCAGCTCTCCGGGCCACTGGGCGAAAAGCGACTCGCTCGGTGGTGAAGGATGTTTGGTCATCGACCCGAAGGCTTCAAGAGAGAACCAAACCCTGCCACCCTACTTCGCTGGTAGCTGATGGAAGGACCCCTCAAAGATCCGGATTTAGGCCCTTTTTCATCCGGACCTTTCTGACAGCTAGGCTGGCTAGAAAGTCATGGAAAAAAACACGATCTCCTCTTACAAAGGTCTCATATCACTTCCATGCCGGCAACATCCCATTGCGATACAGGCCTGACTGTTGTGTCCAAATGGGAACTGAGATAAACTGAGAGGTATCAACGGTTCTTTCCACAGACATTGAGAGATCAGATGAGAAGGACTTCTCCCAGTGCACGTCGGACCACGGCCGTGGGCGGCTCGAGGAACCGGGACAAGAGCATTGCCAGAGTAACTCGCTTCCAGAACAGGCCCGGCTTTCTGCGGTGGCAGGCCACTGCCACTGCCCCCCTGGTAGTGGATGTGAACGGCGCAGAACACACGTGGGGTGAGTCTGGTTTTCATGAAACGAAGTGATGCATGAGAAACGAATCTCACTGAAACTCGTGCCGGAAGCATGGACCTCAGCGAGGATAGCCGACGATATTTTGCTGCCTACGTTGCATACCGCTTGACTGTGCGTTTGGCTCAAGACTGCACGTATTTTTGAGGCCAACGTGTCGACACCACGTTCCCCGGTGAGCTGTGGTAGAAAGGAGAGGAGTCATGGCCAGCTTTGCACCTCGCCCACAGGTTTCAAACACCCTGGCAATTCAGTTTCACCTAGATAAGTGCCCAACAACCTTTGCACAAGCTGCGGAGCTCTTCAAGGACCATGATGTGGCCCGGTTGGACATGTCCTTCGCACCCTGTACGAACCTGGTTCTTGTGACCTTTTACGATGTGCGGGTGGCCCAGCAGGTCCTGAAGCGCGTAAAGCCCTTTGGTTGGCCTGCTCGGGAAGGGATGAATGACTTCCGCTCGGTGAGGTTGTCGATCTCTGAGTTTGCAAGTCTTCCGCAGCACGACAGAGGCTTTGAGAGGTTTGGTGAGATTGCAGGGCTTTCCAGCTGCGGTGATGACATGCTTATACCTGGGTCTTCATAAGTATGCATTTTTTCTGCCTTTTCAATCAAAACTGCTTTTTCAAACAAACACCAACTATTTTGCACTGAAGCACTTTTTGCATTGACATGTTTTCTATGGTAAGTCAAGGTTTTGAAACGGCGACTTTTGCCAACTGCTAATTTGGCAACCTCTGTAAAAACATCGAAACGTCACTTTTGAAATGAAACGGCGTTTTTGACGGCAAACGACTGAAATTTGTGATGTTTCGCCAAACGGCATTAAAAAAACACACCCGTAGAAGGTCCAGAAGGTCCAGGTATATACTGTAGAATTCTATGATATGCATGCTGCTCTTCAGTGCAGCATGTCTATCCCTAGCAGTCAGCCCGAGAAGTGTGGACCAATGTGCCACGAGACCGGTGATACTGACACGGACATGACCGATTGGTCCAATGCTGCCAACACAGACCGTGGAAGACCCTTTCTCTTGGACGCAGGCCGGAGGGGGTGCTAGCCCGAATTCGAGGTGCGTGAAAAGAGTTGGCAAACATCAAGAGAGCATCCAAACCATTGTTGCTCGTGCTGCCCGTGGAGGTGCAAACACACGGAGGTGCTAGCAGACATTTGATTTCTTTTGCATGTGCATGTGCCCCACTGCCGAACAGTGTAGTGTAGGATGTGTAGGAAACTTGATGGCCTTGAGACGGACGATGCTATACACACTGACTAAGTCAGGAACAACGCCGTTCGCAGCTTCTTCTGCTGGGTGAAAGCGCCCCGCGGTGACCTGCAAGTTAATGCAAGATGTGAGTTTCAACACAGCCTCTGATGCGATCGCCCGGACATGTAAGGGCACGCAACCTTGAGTTTCAATTGGCCCACATGTTTCCGTACGGCCATCAAACGGAAAGCAGAGCGGATTGTCTGGAAGTTTATTGCAGTTTCCATTTTATGGAATTGAGCTGGAAGACTTGAATCTTCTATGGTAGTTGATCAAAAGGTCACCACGAGGCCTAGGTAGTGGCCTAGGTTCATTTGGAGCCTCTTATGTCTTTCGTGAAAGTTGATTGAGTTCAAGATGCTCTTTTGCAAAAGATCTGCGAAAGATAGGTTTACGGATACCAAACAAAGAAGACTGCTATAGCATAATTATACAGCTGTCATCCCGCGAAAGTTAATTAAACATTGCGAAAGATTCGCGAAATGTAAAGATTAACTTTTGCGAAGAGTTGCGTTTCGGGAAGAAGGAATTGAGATCAACCACCAAATTTAGAGTCGAATCTTCGAAGCCCTTCTTCCTTGTTGGTTCTTCTGTGCGCTTGCTCTTGCTTGCTCAAGAGCGGAGCCATGGATTAATTGTTTTGGCGTTTGACGGGACGCAGGTTTTCAGGTTTCGAGGTTTGCGGTCGGACACCACCGAAAGTGGGGCGGCAAACAACCCCGAAGTGCACCATGTTCCGCACTTCGTGTGAAGCGCGGCTGCTGCACTAGGCTGTGTGTCTCAACATGTGGCACCAGGGATATTTTCCTACATGTTCCTACAATACAAGTGATGTTCCTGGGTTATGGCGTATTCCTGCCATGCCGCCTGAAACTCATTTGGCCAGTGGAATTTGCGACATCCACGGTAGATCATCGCATATCCTTGCACCCCACTTCCAAACATCTTCCAAACAGTCTTCCAACCTCATTCAACCTCCACCACTGACTGTCCAACCATCTCGTTTTGCCTCGCGCGCGACCGACCGTCCCCATCGTCCGTCGCTTCCTTCGCACCAGGCTGAAGCTCTTCAAGGGCGAAGTGGAGCTGGACGCCGTGATGAAGGACATCGTTCGGTGGCCCAACTCGGACATCGCCGGACATCGCGAGGTAAACTTGTGACATGAAGACCGGAAGACGGTGTGTGTGTGTGTGCGCGCGCAACCGGCAGACTGACGACTCGGACTGGGTGGGTGGCAAAAGCTCGAAGTGGCAGTCTGGCAGCTCAGATGTTTTTTTGGTTGACACCGTGCTCAGGAGAGTAGTTTGGGGTGTTAGGATTTGGCAGGGGATTCACATTAAGATTATCTTTTCTAGCTCTTTAGGGAACACAGACCAAGACAACGTTACTCGTGATAAAGGAGGGCCATTGAGTGACCAGAGAATCTTGAGCTCGCGATCGTTGATAGTTGATGCTCAGAGCCTTCGATCCCAATTCATCGAAACTTGACCCATCATGTTGAGACCCATGAAAGCAACAAGATCATACCCGAGAAGAAATAATACAAGTTATGATGTTATATCAAGTTATGATCAGTGATTTCAGATGATGCCAGGGTGAACTCAAGTTTTGCCGCAGATTTCGGCCCAGCAAGCTTGCAAAGTCGAGCTTTACAAAGACAACGCCATGGGCTTGTACCAATGTCAATGTGAGACCCCTGAGTTCCCGCAAGTTCGGTGCACGGGGCAGCCTTTGATGCTGTTATGTGTAGTATCTTGGGTAGTCCCCCCAAATCCGGTGGATTGAAGTCTGTGTCTATTCATTGATACTGTTCTCGGAGAAGAAACTGCCTGAGGGCCTCCCTGCTTTCACAACAGACCCTGAAAAACATGTCGAGCCTTCTAGTTGTTTTGCCAGTCTTTCCGGAGCACACTGTGCACATGAGCCCGCACACACTGCCCTAGCCATCAAGCAACCCATGACTTGCTCGGTTCGGCTTTGGTTGTTGGGCGTCTTCCTGTGCCTCGCAAGGCTGTGGAGCGATTGTTATTACAATGAACATCGGTGCCAGTCCAAATCGCTGAATCTCCAAGGTGGTGAAAACCAGTGGCTGCCCTGTAGGACCTAATTATTGTTAAGGCAACTGGGAGCAGTATATTCCACCAAAACATTGTTACATGCTTCCAGGTGCTTGCTAACCCCTTTGACCCATTTTGACCCGAGAGAACATAGGGTTTAAATCATGGTGACGCCCTCACGTTGTGCTGCGATGCCATGGGCATTGCGGACATCGCTTGCGATTTCGCAGTTGCAACTTCGAATGCATGGAGTTGTGACCGAGCCCGAGCCACTGACTCCACGACCAATTCCGCTTTCTCTTAGAGATCTCTTGAGCACGCACCCAGCAACCACCAGTTCCATGGTTCTTGACAAATGCAGCACACGATGCTGCTTGTCATTGGTCCTTCCCTTTGATCACTCGTGGTTTCGGACGCGGGTTTCAGGAACCACGTCCGTCCACTCCTTGGATGTTCTTTTTTCCGTTGTGGAGGGTCGGACTCCGACAACGGCGTGGCACGGACGCGGTGCTACAGCTCAGAGGTACGCTCAGGGGCTCCTATGCTGAAATGAGGCCTGACCAGTTTACGATTCCAGCAGTCTCAACATGTCAAGACCATGTGCAGTGCTTACATGGTGTAGACAGTCTAAGCACAGAAGGTCCAACCCTGGAAGCTCTGGCTTACACGATTACATATATTCTTCCACGATCAGAAACCTCAATGAGACTCGGGGTGAAGGTGATCGTAAAGTTTGGTGCGTTCGGCAGGGATGGGTCTCAGTGACCGTGTCAGCTGAGCGATTTCTCAGATTCGGGTCATTGACTCCAGAATGCAGGCGAGCCCTGCAGTGAATGTGGGTGTCGCTGAATGTCATAGAATAATGATTAATCTTTGATGGTTTTGATAGCCATGGTTCAGCAATTCGTAAGTTATTCCAAGTGAAGCGACTTGCTGAGTAGTTGACTTTCACGTAAAACCCCGCACAGTTTTGCAGTGCATTCCCAAAGAGTCAAGGGAAAGCCCGGAAGAGGACTCCAACTCAATGTGTCGTTTGAGCACCCGATCCACAAAACCCACTCAATTTGTTTCAGGGGAGCGAGGACGCTACTAGGGGCTCCTGGCATCGGTACTAGGAACAAGGGCCTTACTACTAGGAACAAGAAGCTAGTAGAAACAATAAGCTAAATAGAATCTATATAACTAAAATTGTATAGTAGCAAAGAAGGCTACTAGGACCTTTTCAGGGATACCCAACTGCCAACCCGTTCGTCGCTGGACCCGGAAGCAAGCACAATGAATCCGACGCTCCCTGAGCACGCAAGGTGTTGCAGGGATACAGGGCAGCGGGCCAGGAGAGACGGTGAGCGAAAAAGGAGTTGGTGACATGAGCGCCTTTGCGTGTCTCAGAATGATGAATGATTGATTTTTCTCCAAATGAGGCGACCCTGATTTGAATCTATATACCTAACCTACCCATCTCATTGCCAAGTCTTTGGGAAGACTGGGGAGACTTTTGGGGAGTTGCCCTGACATTAAGGTCGGAATATGTCGGAATGCTCCCAAGCACGTCGCCCTTCAATTGGTTCACGGTGAGTCCTTTGATGGTTTGATTTCGCGATTGCCGTTTTCTTCCAAAGGTGGTGCTCGGCCCTCAGGGATCCTCAGGGCCCCTGTGGGCCCTGTCGCTTGATATCGGCGGGGTTCGGCGGGTGTGTGGCTTACGATGCCTCGATGCCTTGCTTCGTACTGTTAACATGAGTTGATGCAGGTGTTTATTAGGAGGTTGGGGTATCGTAGCAGGGTGAGTTTGAAACCATCCGTTGCTGTTGCTCATTGTATTCCTGGTAGGCTTTGATTGCCGCGAATGTCGCCAGATTTGCACAACCCCCCCGCACAACCCCCTCAGATGGACGGCTTGAACAGACTTCAGCAAGACTTTGTGTAAACCATTGCGAACTGTATAACATCATTGCCACAATATCTGAAATCTCGCAAGTACCTGAGGGGTTGTTCATGCAATCACTCGGCGACCAACACGTTGCCCGCCAAATGGCGTTCGGGCATTTGTGGCATAGGGACACAAAGGGGCATCTGCACCAGCAGAAGAAGAATCCTGGGCCCCAAATGCCCGATCAACGAGACACCACGGTACAGTACGTTCAACCAGCATGTGGGTCACTACCGCTACACTCTTGCATCATTTAAGGTAGGTGGGTTATATGGTGCTCCTTCACTTAGGGTGTTGGCTAACAGAGGATGCCACCAGCTTCTTCCACCCATTCTAGATCAAAGCCAGCCAATCGCTCGATGATGGCCATAGGAGTCCTAGTCTTTCATTGGGCCTGATGCTACGCTGTAGCGCTGCTAATGGGGCCACCAACCAGTAGCCACCAATGCCATGGCAAATGTAATGATAACAAGCATCTCGCAGATCTCGCACATGAGGGCATCCTGACGTGAACAAACTCTTTGATGGTTGGACACGAGGGACTGATGTTGACAGAGCACCAAGAAATACCAAGAGATCATTCATCCATGGCACCTGTTTTCGCGCTGATGGAATGGAGACTTTGTTTTATGCGGTCCCCGCAGCATGGGCAAGCCCTCGGACAAGCGATGGCAAGAACGGACCTCACTGCATCCAGTAAGACGTCCTTGGAGATGTCAGAAGACAGGTCACCACTGTGTGCTCCCGGAGCTTAGTGGCACATCTGTGTTGTGCCACAATGTATCATAGATTTTGCATGCATGCCAATGCTCTTCGTGGAAAGCACTGGGCTCTAAGTGCGATTACTGCAAGAAGAGCATCAAAATTCAGTGATACCTTGTCCTTCAAGACACGCTGAACATGGCAGGTGCAGTTTAGCCACGCTGAGAAAAAGCAAGTCTTGGGGGGCCTTGGGTGACAGCGAAACCCCAATCCCAAACCATAAGCCTCAAATCCAAGTCATTCTGTTTCTTTTGTGTTGCGTTTCGCACAATGGATGTTGGCAAACTGACCCACATCCCCATGCAAGTGGCCGTT